GAGCTCAGGTGGCCAAGAAGGCCAACAGTGTCCTGGCTTGCAAAAGAAACAGCATGGCCAAAAGGACTAGGGAAGTGATTGTCCCCCTGTACTCGGCTCTGGTGAGGCCACACCTCAAGTACTCTGTTCAGCTTTGGGCCCCTCACTACAAGAAGGACATCGAGGTGCTCAAGAGAGTCCAGAGAAGGGCAACAAAGCTGGTGAGGGGTCTGGTGAATAAGTCTTACGAGGACCGGCTGAGGGAGCTGGACTTATTCAGCCTGGAGAAAAGGAGGCTCAGGGGCGACCTTATTGCTCTCCACAGGTACCTTAAAGGAGGCTGGAGTGAGGTAGGGATTGGTCAATTCTCCCATGTGCCTGGTGACAGGATGAGGGGGAATGGGCTAAAGTTGCACCAGGGGAGTTTAGGTTGGACGTTAGGGAGAACTTCTTTACTGAGAGGGCTGTGAGGCATTGGAATGGGCTGCCCAGGATAGTGGTGAAGTCACCATCCCTGGAGGTCTTTAAAAGATGTTTAGATGTAGAGCTTAGGGATATGGTTTAGTGGAGGACTTGTTAGTGTTAGGTCAGAGGTTGGACTCGGTGATCTTGGAGGTCTCTCCCAACCTAGATGATTCTGTGATATATGCAGCAGTACAACATGCATTCACATATAAACAGCAGTCAGGTTTACGTGTCTGTTTAAGAAGCATATAAGTTGTTTTTGTTTGTTTGTTTGTTTTTTTCTTGGTAGCATGTTCCAAGTACATATGATATGTCTTGAACCAGTGATCTCTTACAAACAATAAACTTCAAAATTTCAAGCAGCAAATCATAAACTGAACCCGCTACAGGAAAAGGCAAACTAGTCCTCTTCTGCACTTCTCCACCCCTAGTGACAGCACAAGAATTAACTGGATTAATCACATTTATCCATGATCCAGGTTAAACCCCCAGAGTTATTTGCTGGTTTCAGTTTAACCCAGTTCAAAATTACACCTTATCAAAGTTAACATAAAACTATAGTAAAGTGCAAGTCATCTGTTGACATAAAATCCAGATGTCCTTTGGTCTCTCAGCCATCACCATCTAAAAAGCACTGCAGATCTCTTGGCACAAGATTGAACAGGCCCTGCAGGGCTAACTGCCTCTCTCCTCAAATTACTGCATCTAGCATAGCTCCGCGTTAATTAGGCTACTCTTCTAAGTACTCTTCATTTTTTTTCTCCCGGTTTTGGAGGTAATGGTTTAATTTGTACTTTTCTGTTGCGTATGCCAAGTATCTGTAAAGGGCTCAAAAGACAAGCACTTAGTGTTGAATATTGTTGGTGCTTTTTATTCAAAATGAAAGGAAAACCTGCTTTCCAAGTTACTTTTTTATTTATATTGACTTCTTTAAGTTATGATGTCAGTAGCAGAATCCATGTTTTGGAAGTGAGGAATTGGGAAATCAGGGCTTACTATCATTTTACCAGAAAAAAAAAAAAAAATTGCTTCATTAGCCTCAAATGAAAGAGACAACAGCAAGGACAAAACTGCCAACTCATGTTCCAGAATATTAAATAGCAAGTCATCAGATATGGAAAGGGTGAGAGTGGGAAGAGAAAATAATGGAACTGTTTACTCCCTTATGGCTTTAATTGAGTAACAAAAAATGTAGTTATAACAAGAAAAAAAAAAAAAATCTTGGCTTACTCCTGCAACAGCCCTAGGTTTTGGACAGAAGCAATGTTATAATGTATAATTATATAACTTACTTCAACAGTTGCTTTCCATATGGGAAGCAACAGATTTGCCCAGCTGCATTTTGGCAAAGCCCAAATCTATCATTATTCGGGGTATAACAATTTTGCTGAAATTTGGAAGACTTACAGAGAAATCTACACATTTCAGTGATGTTCCTTGACTCTGCTTCTCCTTCTAACACTAATGCAGGGCTTCAACTCCTTTACAAGTGGACCTGAGCAATATTTATCTCACAGGATTGTCAGTACAATTGAGTTCTGACTATAAATGACTAAGATTACATTTCTTTCTTCCTGTGATTAAAGAAAAAAAAGCTTCAGGAAACATGGAAAGGATGCCTTTGAAAGTCTAATTTAAACATTTTGATCATGTATAATCCTCTGAATATATGGATTTAACTCAGCTGCTTTGTGACCTTCATTCCATGTTATCCTGTGTCTTCTGTATCAGTAACTGAAGAGAGAAAAACCATCTTCAGCAGTCTTAAAGCAGCAGAAAGCATTTGTCATCATCAGACAGTTGTTTATTTCAGTAACTTTGCTATAACCAGAAAGTTGATTATATTTGTTAGTATTTTGAAAAATAGGATATTTATGAACCTGAACTAGCTTTGATCAGGGCTATTTCTGTGTCAAGAATTGTCATCCAATGATTAGAGTAGCAATTGATTTCACCAGATTCCCTGCTGCTATGCCAGTGTCAAGAACTGCAAGATTTTCAAAATAACACAAAGAAAAATAATAGGGACAGATGTTTGGCATAGGTATACAGATATAAGTTGAGTGTGAGACTGTACAGAGAAGCCACAAAAACTGTCAGTTTCAAAAGACTGATGCCAAAGTGACCTAGTTAGCAGAACATCTGAGTCCTCACATGTGAGTCAAATACATACCGATTGGAACGTCTTTTGCAGCCAACCCTTCAAACATTTTACAAGGCATTACTCTTCTAAGAATACTTTGCAAGTATATTCCACCTCGTGCTGGAATAAAAATAAATGGGTCCAACACCAAAAAAAATGATAATGCACTGTGAACTGAGAGAGCATCAAGAAGTGGCTCCATGAATGCCACTGTAGCCTCCTGGGAAAAGCTGCAGCCACATATCCCATAACATTTTCAGTATCCCAAAGGGAAATTACCTCAGATTTCCTGTGTTCTCATTTGTCTGACACATGTTTTTATTACATTTTATATCTTTAAGTGTTCTGCAGTCCATGAAATCACTCCAAAAAGCAATTTACCACATTATATTACTTTCTGCTATCTTTATTTATCATCAGAATTTTGAGAACTAAAACTACTGTGGTTTGGAGAATCCATGGAAGGCATCTGGCACAATTAGCAGAGCTCAAGAAGAGACTGCATTTGTTGCCAGATGGTCTTCTGCTTTTTGCACGAAAGAGTGCTTGGATAAAACACAGAAACAGGACCAGGGCAGGGAGAGGAACTGAGGCATGAGAGTGAGAATTTTCAACCTTCACATGCAGACAGATGAACCAAACCAGTCTTCTTACATCCCAGCCAGATGCTTCAGACACAGAAAAAGTCTAAATGCCAATCCTGAAGATAGCAGTCCAGACTGAACTTTCCAAGTGAGTCAAGAAACCCTCTGAAGCCCACATTGAACCATATGATGGTCCAAATTTCAGGTTCACTTTTTTCCTTCATTTCCCTATTAGGCAGCTATGTGCTTAGCACAGCAGGTGTTTCAGATCTTAGTGACTTGCTCAGTGCTTTGGATGCCAATTTAGATACCAGCTCTAGGTTGGCTCTGATCGCTTAATTTGAAGAGAGTTGTGAATCTAAATCTTCACCATGACTCCTGGCTGCTAGTGAATATTGAGAATGAAACTGTATTTGAGGCTGCATGCTTTTTCCCGAAAGGTAATAACACCACATCACCCTGTGAAATAAGTGTTCCCCACACCGTGTATGAATCAGCTGTGACAATAAAGAAAGCAGCTCAGAACACAGGTTCTTCTTTGAGGAAGGAAAAGAAAGTAAGGAAATATACCACAGTTCTTGCCTTAAGGAGCACCACCAAAGCAACTAAATCATTGAGCATATTGTCTTACTGAGGCACAAAATACTTCCTCTACAGGGGTCCCACTGTACAATCATTTTCTAAAGTGCAGAATTTTGCTGACTTTACATTCCAGTAAGTGATCTGGAGTAGCTTACAAATGTTACCATATTTATGCAGAGGGAGTAACTTCAAATTGCCAGCCCTCCACAGACCATGAAAACACTCCTTCCCCCAAACCCCACAGTTCCTACTCAGTGCTTTTGTAAACTTAAGGCACTGACAATATTTTAACTAGTTCCTCAATCCAACAAGTGCTCTTCTAACTTCCTGCCCCTATCAGAAACAGGGATTCGCTATGCTTTCAAAACTGCTTAAAGAAAATTTGTTAGTTGACTGTATATGTTTGATAAGATCTTCAGATCTGTGAAGATGAAGGTGTGCATACTCCTAATCACAAGCTTTGAAAGAAAACAAACCAAAGCATTGGAATATACAAACCATACTCTGGCCAAGGATGGGTTAATGAAGTGCTCTAGGCTCTGCCCCCCTACACTGGTAATAGGAATCAGGCTTGTAGGGAAGGATTTCTTGGTGACTGGCCAGGAAGAGAGCCTATAATCTGCAAAAGATGGGATTCGGGGCTGAGTCAGAAACTGCCTGAGAGTCTTCTGCCTGTCAGAGCCTCACTGAGAGAAGCTAAGCCTGCCATGTAACAACTGGAGATTTGTTACTGCAATCTTGTTTGTTTGTCGTGTAGGCAATGCTGTGCTTAAAGGGAGCAACAGCCAAATAAAATCTGTCATACCATTCAAGCTATGCAACTTTTGGCTATAAGATTGTGGTGATCCTATTACGGTCACTTCTTAAGCTACAGTGGTCAAAGCCACATGAAATGGGGACCTTTCTTTATCATTTAGTCAACAATCAGCTGCCTTCACTTAAATGACAGAGCAGTTCTGGAATTGCAAAGCAATGGGGGAAAAAGTCAAAAGTTTTATTACTGGGGAATCTGGTATGGTTTAAGTCACAGAAGGAAAGACCAGAGCACTATTAGAAGAATCTCTTCAGAAGGCTCCAGACCAAGTCTAAAAACAGATGAAAATCTGGCTGAGATAAATTGAGAAAGACTATAAAAGGTTCATTAGTACATGAATTTTCTGATGAGCAGAAAATTGTGATCAGTGTTCAACACATCACTAGCTCAGACAAAAAAAAAGAAAAAAAAAAAAAAAAACCCGACTTACACAATTCATTTCTGATCTCTCAGATAATACACTACTCATATAAAAATGATAAATTGACAAATATGTATGGAGGCAAATCCAAACACCCTTCTCTTTCAACTTGGGCGGCTTTTGGAGTGAAATAATCCTAAGACCTTTTTAAATATAGATTGTTTTTAAATATATATGTTTTTAAATATATATAAGAAAAAAAAGTGTTTTACTTGGTAGATTTATCAGGCTTACGATGTCCGGAAAAACATCAGATATACTGGGAAAGTTCTTTGCTTTCAAGTCAACTCCAAAAACTGTTAACAAAAATGCACAGTACACCTTCACATTTTCACATTTTAACATTCCATAAATACTTTCCAAAAAAACAATATCATCTTTGTGCATAGCTGATACCAAGATTGTGATAATACTATTGATAAGCGAGGAAAGAGATAACTATTCGTGATTTCTTCCACAAGAAATAAATTAGTACTTTTCCTCTTAAGGATTCAATATTTTTACAGTACTTTAAAAGCAAAGATAAATCAAAGAGTCAGAGTGCCCTCTGGTGGTAGTCGGTCATTAGTGCTCATTTTAGAATATTCTTGTTCATACCAAACAAGGCCAACTATTTTCTTTCCCGATTGTTCTAGAGAGAAATCTTATAGCTACTAAGCTATCATACCTAAAAGTGTCTTTAAGAGAGCATTTAGATCTAGACAATTAAGCATGTGGATCCGGACAACCAAAGGTCACCCTCATATAATGAAGTCCAGAAAAACAAAGACCATGCTTTATCACCACCAATTCAAGACATTGCAAAAAACTGAAATGCAAACCACAACTTGAATAAGCTTCTCAGTGGATAACTTGATTTGATGACCTAAGCACTACATTGGTACAACACAGAAGGAAGGAGAGGAAATTAAACCTCTTTGCTGATGAGTATAAATAACCATGTGGGTAAGGAAGGTAAAGGGAGACTTCCCAAATTACTCCTGCTGTGGCCAGAGAGGGGACTAATTCCTTCCAGGAGCTGCTGGTCCCAGAGTTTAATGTACATTTCTCTTCAGAGAGAGATATCAGGGTCTGCTGTACAGAGACCTTCAGTTAGTATTACACCACTAACATCAGCTTAGATAAACTCTTGCAGCAGGTCCTGCAGCAGTACGACTAAACAAGAAATAAGCTCTGCAGTGAAGCTAAAGCAGGCAAGCCTGAGTTAACTTCCAGGGGATTTTCACCCTCTGTTGCTAGGAGAAAGAACTGGATTCAGGCCTTCCATTTGTCCATCCCCCATCTGTTTCTTGGTTCCTCATGGGCTGACTCCAGTTTTCATTCAGGGATGATGGCAGCTTCCCCTACAGCAATAAAGGGACAGTTCAAAACTAAAAATGAGATATATTATTCCCCAGTTCAAATGAAGAACATCCTGCAAGCAATCAAAAGCAGATGGCTATTTTAATGCCTCGCTCTAGTGAGTTGCCAGTCACGTCATGACTGCCAGTCATGACTGGACCAATGTCTGCTTTGTAACTGATGCCACTGCACACAGAGTGGCAAAAAGTTCTGAGGCTATATGCTGACCCACAGAGACCCCGCTGGTAGGTCACCACTGGCACACTGATATGAGAAGGAAACCTAAACTTACAGAACTGATTGAAGTGTGAAGGGACAATACCAACATCAAAGACAACTAATTCAGTGTCCACACCCAGAAACACAGAGCAACAGAAATACTCAAAGGAAATACTTCAGATCTTTTTCCTCAGGATCTCAAGTGTTTTATACTAAAGCACCTATAAACATTCAGTTCGTTTTTTCTAACATGCCTGAAAGGAACAAAACTAATACCGACATTCATTTCTCAATTTCATTAAATAAGAACATTTTAAAACAAAGCACAACTGGAGTTAAGAATATACATTTTCTGAATATCAGACTTTTCAGTTCCAGGAGACTTATATCCTTGAACAATAAACTGATGATTTAATATATTATCTACTGCCAAAGTTTCCCAAAGAGGGTAAAAATACCCTCTCTGGGCAATCTGTGTGCAAATGGAACAGCTTATTAAGGATTCCTTAATTGAGAACACGTAAACAAGGGTCTTAGCCACATCGAAACAATTTCTTGAGGCAAACTTCATGGTCTGATTTCCCAGAAATGCACTGGAAATTTAGCAAAAGGGAATGTCTCTTGCTGCTTTGTTTTAAGCCACAGAAAACAATACTGGGCCACACCCAAAGGGTCAGCTTGAATGCCCTGGCATTAACACAACTGCAACAAGTAACACAGCTACAGGGGAAGACAAAATCAGGTAATAGTATATGCTCAGTAGATATTCCAGACTGTAATATGTGACAGAAAAGCATCATTGAGCTTTCTAACCTGAAAGCCTGGTGGTGGTTTTCACATTCTTTCTGGTAGTTGTTGATTATCAGCATCACAATTAACCAAAATTTCCTGCTTCTCAGCTGAAAGTCATCATCTTAATGGTGACTGATCAGCACAACTCAGCCAATACATCCAGCCACATTTGCCAACATCAACTGAAGCAAAAACATGTATTGCTAAATCAAATGAAGTGTGGTTCCTCTCTGAAAAGTGGTTCTGTAAAATAAATAAGACTTGTTTCTTGCTTAATAGGAACTGTTTTCAGCTGCTGAAGTTGGATCTAGCCACTTGACCAATATACACATCTTTACTGCTTCCCCCCTTTACTAAAACAGATGCTCTGATCTGGAAATTGTACATGGTAAAGTGCAAAACTATGATTTCAGTGCTTACTAATTTCAAATATTCGTTTTGGATTGTTGGTAGTATTAGATACTGTATTCCCTAACTCTTACTTCTGTTGCTCAAAGAGAAGACTTAGAGAAGTTTAGCACACTGCTTCCATGTAGGCAAGTTTTGCTAAGGAAATTGGAGGCAGTATACAGATTCCACTGTTTTCCAACTGATGCCTTCAAATAACCAAGTCTGATTCTAGTCATAGACATATAGGGAATTGCTGACTAAGATGCACAGCAAAATAGCTCAGACTCCTCTCTCTTCTTCAAAAAGAGCTTGATTGCTGGTGGCCTGACAGAGGATTGGATGAAAGCATGTGCAGAAGTCCATACCACAAAGAGGGAGGAATAGGATCAAGGAAGGAAGTCACCTCACCGTTGAGCTTTCTTAAGAGTTCAGCCTAGATCAAAAATATTACAGTGACTGAGAAAGGACAGATTAAGCAGTAACTCCCAGTCCAGACTTGTTCCTAAGATATTCTATTTATAAATCCAGAACGTGTATCTAAACCAAATCCAATCAACACTGTTAAAAGAACTTCATTTGCTTAGCTGATCAGTTAAATCCCAGATTCTGCAAGTGCTTCTGTCTCCTCAGATTATAAAAATATATTAAGGGGACTACATCTTGAACACATGTACTGAGTTCCCTCCCGTAAAGTTACTTCTAGGCTTGTTTGCATTCCAATACCACTGAAGTCTTCCTCAGTATTGCAATGAAATACAAGGACAGTGTGCCTAAAAGTGTTTTGCATCCTCTCTCATTCTATTGCTTAGCCCATTTGAAGAGATTTAAACTTTCCTGCAGCATAATCAAGATACTTGCACAACTTAGAACAAGATCAGTAGCGTGCGCTTCAGAACTGTGAAAGGATTAGCAAACCAAGTTACTGGCAAATTATAAATCAACATTCCAATAGTTTATTTTTTGATTGAATCATTATTTACTAAAAAAAATAAAAAATAAAAAAATAAAAAATAAAAGAAAAAAACATTTGTTGGACTATCTTATTTCATGAGGTATTTCTACACATTTCTGAATTATCAGTAAACTTTTCCATATGACCTTGCATCAAGTTATTTGACCTACCTAAGTGTCAGTAAAACCAGCTGGAAAATTTTGTAATAGTGAGTTCAGCCTAAGTGAATTGCAAAAGCAATGAAAAGGTCTTACTGCTGCCTGGAGGCAGACCCATGCTGTGTTGCACTTGGGAGGCCCAAAATGTGAAGGGTGCAGCTGGACTCATGAGTCTGGGTGTTAGGCAGATGGAAATTCCTTAATGCCTGGCTATGTCAGAAAGCACAGTACCAGTAGAGACCCATTTTGCTGCAGCAGTTCTAAATTGAATCAGAAAGCTGAAGTTATTTTGCAAAACAACTTCATTGGTCTCTACCTACTGTAGGCCAAGAGCAGATGTAGAAAATACAAAATGTTGCTTTTATGTTCCAAGGATGGCAAACTTCCTTCTCATTTGAGGTTCACAATTACTGACCTCTTGGGAAAGTGTTCTGTTCAACCATGATTTACAAAAGTAGTTTTAAAATTACTTCATCTTTAGGATATCCCAGAGCATTTTAGATTGGTTCAGTGAGCTTCTCAACTATACATATTTCTGGGCAATACAGATTTTTAGTTTAAATTTATAGAGCTGAACACCCTGTTTTGGCTGTGTAGCACAGGATATTCACCCCATTAGTTTTCCAGACTTCTAGAAATATAGAACAAGACTTTCAGAGGATCCTAGCTCTTTTGAGTGCAAGGAAGGAGATCAAGAGTACACAGATGTGTACATACGGGAAAGGGGCAATTACCCCTCTAATGCAAGTAAAACAGCCTCATGCAAGCTCTACTTTCAAAAACCATCAGCCTTGACTCAAAGAGTTTTCTGACCTTCTGTTTTTGAGTCCAAATAGGTATAAGCTCTGTTACTAGGCACAATTTAAATTCCTTTACTTGTTAACAGAATAGCACCTCACCAAGTTTTCTGTTGGCATGCATGAGTGTTCCTCCCCAGATCCCTTCCAACGCAAAGAGAAACAGGTTATGAGCTATTATAAGCTATTATCATTATATATCAAGTTATATGTGATTTAATTTGATGTATCTGAGGTGAAAGAGCAAGCACCAGCATTGTTCTCAGACTTTGCCCAGTTTACCAATCATTTGGTAGAATTGTTCAGGCTTCCCTGAGACTGCCATCCTTAATATGCCCCTCATGGGTTGATGCACAGAGCCAAGAAGTTTGTCTGAATGATACATAAGTTTGATTTCAAGCTCAAGTATGGGTCTGAGGATGCTTTATGTATTGTGACCTTATGTGTAAAACAGAAATTTGTTGGACGATAAAGGTTGTTTTTTTGGGTTGTTTGTTTTTGTGTTTTTTTTGTTGTTGTTGTTTGTTTGGTTTCATTTTTTGTTGTTTGTTTGGTTTTGTTTTGTTTTTTTTAAATGTGGACATCAATTCACTCCGCTTGAGTATTTTACCACTGAACTCAAGAGATGGATGATGGCCCTAGTGGACAAGAGCATTAGTAGTGATTTTGTTAGTTTAGTCTCTGTTCTAGACTTAGTCTTAAAAAATTTCAAAGTACAACTTCAATGTGGTTTGAATTTATTCTACTTTTAATTTCTTTTACTGGCATCAAAAATTGGAGGATTACGATGGAATACATTTTATCATGCTACCATAATATAGAATATTTACTAGGGCATTGTGATCCTCTTTTAGCATGTATAATTTGTAAATTTAAAACAAATTTTCCATCTCAAAATAAAAAATAAAAAAAAGTACAAATTGTTAATTATGTTTGTCCACCCTGCACAAACTTCTGTGTTTCTAGGTTCATTTTTTAAGTTTATATTTTCACCAACAGGTGGAGCCATAAATTCTGAATTCATTATCTGTTGGTCATCTAAACCAACCTACATCTTTACTAAGTAATAGCAGAAAATGTATTTCACATCCTATCTGATGTGAAAGAAAAAATTTACAGAGTAGAAATTTATCGAGTAGAAAGGTCTTGCTGTTAAGGCAAGATATAAAGATTAGATTAAATAGGGTAGTGTGAAAAAATGAAATAGTGTTTCAGTATCACAACTGCTTTGAAATACTATTAGACTATTTTTAGTCTAAGTTGCACTAGAAGACTTTCTAATTGATTTTCTAATGCAACACTTTCTGTAGTCTATAACAGCAACTTCTAAAAAGGTTAAAGGAGCATAAAGTTTAATTACAGAAAAGGTAAAACAGAAATGTTTCAGAAGTTTAGAGAACATAGGGATCACACTGGAAGTGTTTGCTTTCTCCTGTGTAAGTTCTCAACTACAGCACTATAATTTCTAAAGTTAAGTTATTAAATTTTACAACAGAAATCTACTTCTGGATAAGCATATGCAACTACCACTGACTTCTTAAAATAACCTTTCCCCAAAAGTTACAGAAAATAAAATTCCCAAAGAATATCAAATTTATCATGCCATTATTTTCAGTCTACTTAATTATTAACTTGCTCTCCACCTCTCCACTGAAATGAGAAATTACGACTTTAAAGCTAAAACACATTGAACT